ACCCCTTTTATGGAAGCGCTGCTATAGATTATGAAGGTGACTACACCGAAGAAGATCCGCAAATCATGAGACAAAAGAGAAGTTTAAGGCCAGAACTGGGAGAACCTGTCATTTTAAGGTGTCAGCCATACAAAATTCCGCTGACCGAGCTTCTTTTGCCTCATAAGATCTCCCCTGTTGAATTTTTCCGTCTATGGCCCAGTTTACCGGCCGTAGTAGAGTACACTGGTACATACACTTATGAAGGAAGTGGCTTCAAGGCTACTGCTGCACTGCAGTATGGGGCATCTCCTTTCCTTAGTGGGCTAAAATCCTTGTCATCCAAGCCATTCCACAGAGTTTGTTCGCATATTATCCGAACAGTGGCAGGATTTCAGGTATTGTCTCTCGCTCTTTATTACTATCTGATTTGCATCTCTCTTTCGGTATTCGTTATATGCTCTATTATGGAAGTTCTATACCGTCTGGACTGATTGCAAATGTAACTGGTAAGCCAAGGCAAATCATGGCCTTACCTTACTTATCCTGCTAACAGCTGGAAGAAAGAATTTATAAAATCCAGCCGAAGTTGGTCATAAATTATGAACTTGAAAAAGTAGAATTGGCAATCAATTCGAGTAGATATTATATGCAAGTATCCTTAATTTTTATCGAAATTAAGCTACTGGTATCTTGGCTAGATGTAATTTGTTGAACCTTTAATGTTAGTGCTTTGGCCTTCTAATCAACCATACAATATTGATGTTGAATTCTTTGTCCTGGAACAGCTGTGTTTTGCTGCAAAAACCTGGTATGGTGGTTTCTTGGGCCTGATGGTCTTTGGAGCTAGTGAAGTGAGCCGGAATGTTGACCTAGGTGATGAGACTACGACCATGATATGCAAATTTGTGGTTCGAGCATCTGATGCATCAATTACAAAGGAGATCGGATCGGATCTACAGGGCTGGTTGGATGACCTCACTGATGGCGGTGTTGAGTACATGCCCGAAGACGAAGTGAAGGTGGCTGCTGCGGAGAGGCTTAGGATCTCGATGGAACGGATAGCCTTGCTAAAGGCGGCACAACCTAAGAAAAAGATTCCCAAATCTGATGACGACGAAGACGAAGAAGAAGAGGATGAAAGCGACGAAGAAGATGAGGACAAAATCAAGAAAAAGAAGGAAAAGAAAAAAGATGGCGAGGAAAATGGAAAGCCAAAGGGACCTACAACCCTGTCGAAGTTGACAGCAGAGGAGGCCGAACACCGTGCTCTTCAAACAGCAGTGCTCCAAGAGTGGCATACGTTGTGCAAGGATAGAAGTGCTAAAGTTAATTGAAGGACCGACAAAAGAAGGGAGCACCACCAATCTCTTTCCAAGTGAATCTAACAGCCGGGAATTGCCCGCCCTTGCATTTCGCGGCTCAACACGTTTGGGATATCAATGAACAGAGTTAACTTTGCTCCGTGTGGACTGCAGCCAAATCCACCACGCTCATGCGCTTGCACAGGTGAGTCTGTGAGCTGGTCACTGACAACTAACCATGTGTGTTACTCCAAGGTTTTGAGTGCTTGGCAGATGCTTGCGATTTCCACCGGGATTTGTTCGCTTTCGGCCAAATTCATCGATCACTTGCCCGGGTCTCGTCGTACTTTTCTTTACACCTTCAATCCCGGATCCAACGTTAACTGAGGCTTTCTAGTAGAAGTAGATGTTAAATTTTAGGAAATTAGTTTGGTGTTTGTGTGAAAAGTGTGCGATTAAACTAGGGTTTGTCTCTCTTCCCCCTATATTTTTGTATTTTCTGTTTCTTGGCCCATTGTTCATCATTGAATTATACAGCAGGAGAGCTTCAATTCATCATGTTGTAAAACAATTTTTGTAAAATTTGAGAATAATGTATTTTCATTCAGACCATGCATTCCAATTGATTCCTGATTCCATTCTAAATCGACGTTTGAATGTTTGGACTTGGTGTGGTCCTCGTAGTATTCCGTCCGAATAAATTTTAGTGTATTGAGACATATCAATCTTGTCCTTTACCCATATAACAAGTTGAGTTGTGGGACGAAGAACATGATTTACAAGGATTGGACAAGGCCCTCCTACTTCTCATGAAAATGACAACATTTTATTTATAGTTTCTTCTATATTCTACTACATACGTGTTGAAAGTTTCAAAAGCACACATGCATGAATGTATAATTATTCAACTTAATTTCTGATGATGTTACACAGTCAAAGGAAGGGATATTGAAACTCGATCTCCACCGTCAGTTTAATGTATATAATGAACGGACGGCATCGAACCAATCCGGTGACAACATCGGGATGAAATTGAAACCTTTGACTTTTCAGCACTGGCATCATGGGATTAGGATATGATAATTTTCCTTGACTGCTAAGCCTCACCGTGTGTATATTTAGAGGTTCCGCATCGTCCTCCATTCACAACCAGTTTTGCACATACATCAAGTTAACAATTTTCTTCATATTTCCTTCCTCCTGTTTGCTCAAAATGGTGAGTTTGTGTTGTTCATTTTTCTAGATTTTATTGTTAATTTTAATTTTAATTTTTCAAATGGGAGTGCCTACTTGAATTTGCGGATCCCATCACAAAAATATTAGAGGCGTATTATGGAAAATGATCCTCTTCGGATTCTTTTTGTGAGGATCCGGAGGATCAATCAATCATGTTCGTTTATTATATATCGTGTTGTTCTTAACTTCAATATATACACGGTTAAAATATATGACTAAAAAATTATATTATTCGGTCTCAATTTTTTTATTTTTATAATTTTAATATTGGCTGACATTTTGACTTGTTATTGCTTCTCTCTGCATTTGGTGGGAAGCAGGCTCTTTCACTCACTATTGAGGTATGGATATTCCTTTTTTCTTTTTCTTTTTTTTTTTTTTTTTCTTTTTTCTTTTCCTTTTCTATCTTATTTATTTTATGGAACTAAAATTGTCTGTGTGTTTCAACATTAACTTCAATATATTTTTTACCAGAAAGAATTTGCTCAAAACTCAGAAAGAATCAAGTCTGTGGATCAACATCCAACTGAGCCATGGTAATTGCTTGCCTTGGCAATTCTGTTATGTCTTCTGTATCTCCTCGTTTTCATTTTTTTCGTGTTCTTACCCTAAACCCTAAATCCTAAACCTTAGACCCTATTTGATGCAAGTGCAACCTTCTGCTATCTACTTTCGATCTCGTGTACGTTAATTGCTTGAGTTCTAAAAATGCAAGATAATCAAAGCTTGTTGGTAATGTTTTTCATGTAGGGTTCTGGTCAGTTTGTATTCAGGTGCTGTTTGTATCTGGAATTACCAATCACAGACCATGGAGAAGTCCTTCAAGGTCACTGAATCACCAGGTACATTATTTTCTCTCATATGTTCTTGTTGCGTGCCTACCGAAGTTTCTCTATGACTTTGCGTCTAAATTTTGTTTACATGTGCTTGCAGTCAGGTCAGCAAAGTTTGTAGCACGCGAACACTGGATAGTAACCGCGGCTGATGACACGTTTATTCGCGTCTACAACTATGACACGACGGAAAAGATCAAAGAGTTTGAAGCACATACAGATTATATCAGGAGTGTGACTGTCCATCCTACTCTACCTTATCTCTTGTCATGCTCGGACGACAACGTTATAAAGCTTTGGGATTGGGAGAAGGATTGGTCATGCACTCAGATCTTTGAGGGACATTCTCACTATGTGATGCAAGTGGCGTTCAATCCACATGACGCCGATACTTTCTCCAGTGCGTCTCTTGATGGCACTGTCAAGGTATTGCAAGGATTGTTATTTGTGCAAACTTAACTGTAGAATTTTCAGTGTCATGGCTGACACTCATACTTTTGCAGGTATGGAGGATTGGGTCCGCTGCTCCGGAGTTTACATTCGAGGGCCACTTAAAAGGAGTGAATTGCGTTGATTACTTCATTCGCGACAATAAAACGTATCTATTGAGTGGTTCCGACGATTTTACTGTTAAGGTTTGTCATGAAATGTTGGTTATATATACATGTACTGAATATGATGATCACGTGTTCGTCTATGCGTGCATATGAATTTGAATATATTATGTCCATGCAGGTATGGGACTACGAAACCAAAAGCTGTGTCCAAACTTTAGAAGGCCATGAGCACAATGTAACTGCTGTATGTGTTCATCCTGAGCTTCCCATAATAATCACAGCTTCTGAGGATGGGAATGTTCACATTTGGCATGCAACCACTTTTAGGTAACCGTCTTTTATGATTCAAAATATTTTCACCAGAAACGCAGTTAACTCGATTTCTGTTTACGTATTCATTTTGTTACCCGTTCTTACTGTCTTGCAGGCTAGAAAAGAGACTGAGCTACGATCTCGAAAGAGTTTGGGCCATCGCGCACTCGAAGGATCAGACAAGTGAGTTTTTTCCTTCTTTTTGTTGTTGTTAGGATTCGTTTTGTTGTGGCATTTGATTGATTACCAGTGATATAAATTGATTTCGTACTTCTGCAGAGTTGCATTTGGATTTGACAAAGGAATAGTTGTTGTTAAAATGAATGGGTCTGTTGATCTCCAAGCTTAGAAGGAAAGGTTGAAGGAATAAAAGACATCTAGTGATCATGTGACTAATACCTTATCAATAAATGATTTTGACACACAAGATTAATATACTTGCTGACACGTTCTCTAATATTAGTGGATTTCACCGTTGTATGTAAGTTTCGTATTGCCAAGTGTGTCAGCAAGTATGTTAGTTTTGTATGTCTAAATAGTGTCATCTGTACCGCGTACGGTAAAAGAATTATCCCAAGAACTTTACGGTGTTACTCTTATTGTTGTATTATATGTATGAATAAAACTATAAAGAATGTTTCGAATGATCCTTGAGATTGATATAATTCTTTACTTTGGTTCCTGAGTTTTTTTCTTTTCAGTCGTTTAAGATACAAAATTATACCTGAATTTTTTCGCTGATTCCGAATTAAAAGTTCATGGCATGAAGTAATACCATGTAAAAATAATCAGATATTTTACAAATAAAATCCAGAAATCACAATCCTTCTGTTACACATATCAACTACGCCGTTATAACGTATTTTCTTAGGGACTAATACAACAGAGTAGAGTATAATAATCTAGTCAGACGATAGATACGAAGATTAGATGTTCCTACGGTTAATACCCCTGATTACAACAGTAAGAATGATCATACATTTGGCAAACACACTTCTGCACCAGATGTAGAACCCTAATATCACATCTGCCACCAATTACGACTTGAACAATAATCCCTTGAATTTACGTTGTTCTTTCGAAACTACCACCAACCTGCATATGTAGCCATTCGGGCTGTGAGCTTTGGGCGTACTCCCTTGGTGTGTGCGAGCCAAATAACAACCCTGCAGCGTCAAATGGCTGTGCACCGAGCTGAAACACCAGGTCAACACGTAAGAAACTCATATAGCGCATAGCTTGTCTTTCCGTGTTTTGAAAGAAACTTTACTTGTTCAACCGATGAGAGAGTGGATAATTGCAATATGAGTTAACGGGACGAGAATCTAAACAAGGATAATGTCATCATGATGATAGAAAAGAACTGTGATCCTGAGAATTAGGAGGCAGCGGAATGGTGATAGCATTTAAATTCGAGATGGAAAACGAAAGAGGACTTCACCCTTCATGGGAAATCAAGGACTAAGAAAATATCATTACTATCGTGTTGTTATGCTCAAAGAGATGACATGATGCATTAATGTCATCGCAAATAATACAAGAGATTTTCCGGAATCTTTATGCGTATAGCAAGGGTTAGGTTATAGAAAAAGATGAGCGTAGAAGGAAGTGCCTTGCTGTGCATTCCCTTAACAATGCCACAAGAAATGCAAAACTACAAGTCTTGGGAAATCAAGAGCAACAGTGTGGTGTCCAGCGGCCAAGCTTACGACAAGCACACTCCTCTGTTGACAGACATTTACATTCCTTGATGCATCTCTAAGATTGAAAACTTGAACCCAAAAAATCCTAGATGAAGGTTTACATTCTAAAAAAGCAGTAGGGTCTTCAGAAATTTATTGAACTGGAAATAAAAATGCATTTCAAGGATTATATATTGGAAATAGATCCAGAAAGAGTAGGTCAGTGGATTTTATGCAGGTTATAGAAGTGCATCTTACTTACATCTTTTGGAGGAAACGCTTCGATGGTGGGATTCATGTTCATCCTTGAATTGACTGCTTCAAGCTTCATTGAAAGGAACTACAGAATCGAATAAACAGATTACAGACTTGGGTTAAACAGTTTAAAGCAAAACCGTGTAACCAAGTACCACTAGATAGAGTCAGAAGGAATAGATACCTCCACCTGGTGCTGCAGTGATTGGATGTAATTAATGATCTCGTCAAGGACAATTGCTTTCCCAATAACCTTTTCAGAAAAAAAAAAAAAAAAGAAGTTAAACATACGTAAGGGAAACATACTTGGTGAAACATAATTGATTTCAGAATTCGGATCACTAGATAATTACCAAGATGTTTAGAATAAATCTAGTAATGAAACTGGAAACAACATATTACATAACAAAGATTCCCCTTACTAACTACGTTGATCATATGCTAAGTAAATATTATGACAAACATAAAACCAACGAGACAACATTGAATACCTTGTTGCATCCAGGAACCAAATCTTGGAGAATTTTCATCCTCTCGCTGATCTTCTCTCTCCTAGCCTGCCAAAACGAGCATGGTACGCAACATGTTCAAAGAGTGAATGAATCACACTGACTTACCAAACATGCCAATAAAACAGAAACCTATCCCTATCGATAACTACAGAGCTTGATTAAGAACATGCAAACCGTGATAGATGTTCTAGATTCTTGTACTGAACATTTAAAAGGACCAAAAGTGTATTACTCTTTCAGCTAGACTGTGGCTATCTGTAGCTTGTCCCCTTCTTGCCCTCACATGGATAAAGTCTTGCTTGGGTGGCTCGGAAGGTTTAGTGCTTTCTTCAGCTGGCTTGTTGTCACCAGCAGCTGAACTTTCTTCAACTTCAGCCCTCAAACTGCCATTTTCGTTACTGGATCCCGCTAATTTCATCCGTTTTCCACCCGAATCATTCTGTTCGAGAACAAACAGGGCAAAGAAAACAATAAACACCGATACAAAAAATTCAAGAACAATCAAACAACATACAAACAGACATCACTAACTGAAAATCATGCAGCTTAACTCGCTTAACGACACACATCACGCCATTTTCGGATGCATTAACATTCAAAATCAAGTCTTTACATATAGCTGAGATAGGCAGAATCGCAATTTCACAAACTTTACTACTTCACTCAAGTATTTTCCAACAAATAGTTTACTAAATTAAGTTCAAATATAAAGGCCCCCGACTAAAATTCGTTCCCTTTTCCAACTATTTCCCTCCATTAGCCATAATTCAGCTAAATTATAATAAAAACACATACAAAGTTCATTGCTTTAGCATTAATTTGCACCATTTTCTCAGAAACCAAACATAAAATCGAGCCAAGCAATCAAATTTCACTTTAAGGAGTGAAAAATTACGAACCAAGCCATTGCCACTACTAGTGGAAACCTGCTTCGAAGACTCGTCCTCAGAGCTCACATCCCTTCTCTTTCTTCCGCCACCGCCACCGCCACCGCCGCCGCCACTTTGCTCAGTCACAGTGGATTCCTCCAACGACCCATCTCTGTTCACAGAACTATCTCCAGGCCCACCCAAACTCTGACCCAAGTTACCCATTCGGAGCCCCAACCCACCACCGCTGCCACCGGGTTCGCCGCTAAAGGGCCAAATCTCCGCCAGGCTGTAGGATGCTGGGTTAGCTGCTGAGAAGGGAGACTCGTTGATCAGTGGAGGATCCATTTTGTCAACAACCGAATTCATTCGACCGGACCCGACCCGTTAATCCGAAACCAAAACTTGAGGTTCCCACAGAGAGAGAGAGAGAGAGAGTGAGCTTGTGGGGAGTGAATGAGGGGTTTAGTCAGCTGATGGGTTATTTAACAAGTGATTTAGAGAGAGAAAGATTTGGTTTTTAGAGAGAGAGAGAGAGAGAGAGAGAGAGAGGCATTAATGGATGATGATGAAAGTGAGAGTGAGAAAGTTAGAGAGGGAAAGGGAGGAAGGGAGGGTGGGAGTGGGGGCAGAGATGAAGCACAGTTTGATCCTTTTGGCTGGACGCGAGGAGAGCAGCGCGCAGTGCGCCCACTGTGCTTTTTAACCCCACCCGACGGTAAAAGGCCTTTATAGAGAGAGAGAGAAGCGGCTCCGTTTAGAAAGTGGACGTCCAGAAATGCTACCATCGGCGCGTTAAGGTACTCGCTCTTCTGCAATAGACACGTGGCACTCAGTCTGGGTTTTATTAGTTTATCATATTATTTAATTTCCTGTGTGAGTTGCTTGATTGGTTGATCTAAACCAGATATGGGATCAAGTGCCTAACCAATACATTTTTAGAAGGAAAGTGGGGATCAAAGGATCCAAACTCACATCTGTATTTCAAATTACTTGAAGATTCCATTGGCCATATTTCCACCCCCCCCCTGATTTTTTGTTTTTTTTCACAAAGCGATATATTAATATATTTTGATTTACAATGAAGAGAAATGAGATTTTGATTCAAAGGGACGCACATGCTATTCTAACCAACAAATTTAATTCACATTTGCACGCTTGATGATGTCATTCGCTAGAATTTTTTATTCTTCAAGAAAGTGATATTTTAATCTGTTCTAATAGACGATGAAGAGGAATCATATTTCGGTGCAATGAGATAGATGCATTGCTCTGACCAATTAGCCTAATTTTACATATGTGCAATTCACAATTCTGTTAATGTGGTTTGGACATGTAAACTGAAGAACTACATATACTTTGGTTAGTATATGCGATTATGAGATAGAGGCTCATAATAAAATAGGTAGAAAAACCTAGGAAGACTTAGAAAGAGACTCTAAGAAAAGACATGGAGTACTTGGAGCTAATGAAAGAGTTGGCGCAAAACCAAGACCAATAATGTTTTAAGATTCATATAGCCAACTCCACTTAGTAGTATAAGGTTTTGTTGTTGTTGTAATTTACTCTGAAGAAATAATATGTCAAATTCCCATAGTAAATGAGAAATACCCAATTTAAAATAGTGCCTAGAAAGTGAAAGTAACAGTTAATGTGAGGAAGATTTTCATATTGGGGCATCTTATTCCCTTTCAAAAGAGAGATTGGGTGGAAACAATGGTTGGTGGGTACTTGCACTAGTGAACAACACAAACCCTCCAAATTAAATGCTCAAATAAATTTATGTTGGGGAAAAATGCTTTTCTCTTTCTAACTTCCTTTTTCTTAAGAGCTAAATAGATTTGATAATTTGGATTATAGCACCATCAAGACCTAACCCTTCTTTTTCTCATTTGTCACAATTATTATTGGTGGTGCCTAACTTGCTTAGCAAAAAAATGGTACCCATCCAAGCAAGATTGGTTACACTTGAGAAAGTGTGTTTGAGGTTATGCCTAAAATAGTTTTGCATTTGGCCAAACTCATGTGCCCTTGTGGGATCTTGGGCATTTGCCAAAGTTAACTTGAGTGGCTTAATTTCCCTCTTAAAGCCTCCTACTCCTAATTTGGTTATCAAAACTTGATGCATTGTCTATTTGGAAATAGGGTTAAATGCTCATCTGCCCATTTCACTTTCATGTCCACCTCATATATGTTGCACCTGCCTTTCATCAAAAGTGATGTGTAATACTCAAGAGAGACTTACATACACGCTTTTTGATGTCATTGCAGCGTTTCAAACTAATAGTACAATGTTGTGTGCTTTAAATTTCTCACATAGATCGTTCTATTGGTCTGGGATGCAATGGTGGCGTACTCATAGGTGCAGGGAAGTCTCCCTGCTATTCCTCGTGTCAATTTTACTGTTTGCATTAAGGCATTAGTATGTGTCAGCTGAAACTGAATATTGAAATAAATGTTGAAGAAAGTTGTTAACTTTTCTTTTTGCCTTTTTAGTAACTCATTACAGTATGTAATCTAGTAATAGATTATTTTTCCCTAACAGTGAGGAACTAAAGAATGTTCATTTTATGGTTATTCTTGAGTGAAGCTCATCTAACAAGTTGGAGTAGGACTCTACCCCTCCAAATTTTCATGAAGCAACAAACTTGGCTCTATGAAGTTGTTATAAGATAATATTTGGCGTTGATTGAGAATATGATTCACTCTGAAACCCTGTGTTTAGAGTTCGTCGATTCAAAGATTCCGACAATTCAAGATCTAGGCTATTCAGGTTTTTGGATTTTTACAAAGTGGGCTAGGGAGATAGACTAAGATGAACCGTATGATTAAAATTGAGTTACATGAATCTCTCGGTTTGCAAGTTTCGAATACAGAGATATTGAGTGAATCTCAATTCACCTTCACAATTTTGAACAGAAAAGACAAAAGTAAACAAAGAAGAAGATAGTACAAACTGTACCATGACAACTATTTTGTGTAAGAAGTTCAACTTCGTGCTCAGTTGGGAAAGAACTTGGGCGACTTTTTTTGTAGTGACTAGTACATGGAACTGTTACAAAAATATGTTCCGGTACCTTTTGCTCTTTGTGGCTACTTTTTCAAAGCTCTCAAACAAAACCCCTGCATTCTGCATGTGATAGCCATAAAATCTACCATGCTCAATTTCTTCCTCTCAATCATTGTTCCTTCTTTTTGGATTTTTTTGGTATGAACTGAAACATAGCATGCAACGGAATCTTTAGCCGCACATCCAACCGTCCCTTCATCAGCTCCATACCAAGCATAGAAGGGTTTGTTTATAAAATTATCAATTTCCGAACTGCCATTTATGTCCATCAATATTAATAAGTGCAGGATATGTAGGTATGCAATTTTACTTCTGCCAAGGCGATATCTTTAACTCCTATGATCTACAGATTGAGAAATTCGAACTTGAGAGCAAGTAACTGGAAACCCCACTGTAATCATTGATAACGTTAACTATTATAATCCTTAAAGAGGGGAAATCTACTTGGAATCAAGTGGTCAAGAAGCTGGCCTTAATCAATTGACCTACCTCATGTACAGAAAATTGGGAATTACATCCCAATACAAAAGTAGTAAAAGTTTGCAGTATGGTCTTGATGGCAACTTTTTTATAATTTTGATGGGTAAAAGAAAGAGTCCCTTGATGGGAAATCAAACACTTGGTTTTGCTTGGATGGAGAATGGGCCAGTTAATCAGTGGTGTAAGAAATAGATTTTGGGCAGGGATGGGATGGGATGGCAATGCCCAAATTTTAAGTCCAAATTGTTAGAGGTGAAAAGACAATTTTGGTCAAAGCCACATTATTTAGGACCCTCTTTCAAAATGGTCCCATGTCCTACAGTAGTGTTTTTTGGAACAAAAGGCCCCAATTTACAAGCAAGATAAATGATTTGGAGGGTAGGGGGTGTCCTCTGAGTCTCTGACCAAACCACCAATAATATAAAGAGGAGATACAAAATACAATATAAGTTTGGAAAACAGGACACACATCCTATGAACTTTTTGGATGCCATCCTTGATGGATTGAGTACTACTTTCCATATGTAATAATAATGCATTAAAGATGGGATGGGAGAAATCTGTTATGTCATCGGTTGTACAATTATGTGTTTGCATCTCATGTGACGAAAGATATGCGATTGTTTAAACCGGTAACACCCAAGAACAAAACGGACACATAAGGCGAAAAAAACAAAAAAGAAAAAAAAAAGTAACATATAGTATGATTTTATAACAGTGATGATCACATATGGCTTAGAGGGATCTGGATTCTCTCCTCTCCCATTTTCCTTCTCCTTCCGTCCCATCTTATTTAAATACTCACAATTAAATCACGTCAGCATTTTATATTAACTTCTTTACAAAGAGAGAACAACAGAAGAAATCTCTCGATGAACAAAAAGATGGGGAGAAATTTCCATTTCTCTCTCTCATGATTTTCCCTGCATAACCAAATGTACAGTCTGGAAAGAAGAAGAATGCACAGAACCTTCTTCCTACCCTAAAAAAAGTATTAAAACTTATCAAATTTTCAGTCTGCTCTTTGTACAGTGGTCTTAAACAAGAGGATGTACAACTTTTGATCCATTGAGAAATACAGAAACCCGCTTACTGAGTGTGTCACAAATGACCCAAAACTTGTTCCTACAATGCAGTGCCATGCTGGCCCATATACCCCATCAAATTCCTGCAAAACAATTACCCAACCTTGTCAATATTTGCACATAGACGAACCAATGACTCACTACTAATCACACACGCACAGCAAACATGGGGTTTTATCACAAAAGAACTCGGTGCAATTAGTGGCAGAACCATTCATTATATATTGGAGTTTTGAAGTGGGACTTTTTGAGTTAACACAAACCCCACTAAACAATTACCAACTAATCATAAAATAAAACCCACATCAGATAGCCACCAAAAACATCAGAAAATTCAAAATTTAACATCCTAATCATGATAATTAAGCTTATAATTACCTTTTTGAGAGTCAAAGCAAGAGTCTTGGAGGTGAATTTTTCCAGGCTATCATGCGTCTTTCTTGCACACTCCACAGCATGGATCTGCATAAACGGCGGCATATCAGCTGAAACAACTCTCACCCCATTACTTGCTAACACATCCGCCAACTGCACCTGCGACCCAGACAGGGATTTCCTCCTTCCGCCGCCGCCGCCGCCGCTTGCGGCGGACGAAACCGACAGCCTCCTCCCGCTATCAAACTTCTTCTTTTCCTCAAAACCCACCAACCCATTTTGAACTTCCTTCTTCTTATTCACCACCGCCACCACATCCCTACTGAGTTTTTTGGGTTTTTCTGATTCCTCTGTTTTCTTGCTCTGTTTTTCGCTTCTGGGGTCGAATGATTTAGGGTGAGGGTTCGATTTGAGGAAAGACTTGGATGAATCCATTGACGCCGACATCGATTTGGCCTGCAAGCGAGTGTCTGTGAGGCTCTGTGAACTGCGGAGTCGTTGACTTGCGTTGACTCTGGAGGTGGGATTGGAGGTGGAAGAGGGTTTAGAGGGCAGGGAAGGAGGATCTAGGTAAGTGGAGTGCTTGGAGGGCTTTGGCTCTGTCGCTGCTAACATGCGCCGGTGGGTGGTGCGGTTAGACATGATGGTGTTTTTTTTGGGCGGTGGGGGGTGCATGAATGGGGATGAAATGAAAGTGGAAGTTTTGGTTTTTGTGTTGTTGTGTGTTTGGGTCAGTGGTGGGGTTGGGTGGATTGGGACTTGTGTGGTGAGATCTAGGCACTATTGAGTTCTAACATGCGCCGGTGGCGGAGGAAAAGGAAAAGGGCGGGAGGGGCCTCGTGATGTTTTGACCGTTGACTCACCCAACTATCTAAATCCCATGGGAATTTAGTGTTTGAGTTGGCTAGCTAGGGCAACATTTTTGGGATCTTGTCTTGTAATTTGAGCGTAGGGGAAGGAATTTGGTTGCTCCCCTACAAGTCCTATTTATTCGCTTAGCGGCATTTAGTATTCGTTTAGTTGAACGTTTCAGATCTGGCTCATAAGAATTGAAAACGATTTATAGTGAGTTTGATACTAAGTTGTGAGCGAGTAAACGACATAAGTAACTTTATAAACATCTTACATTGTCGGAAAAAAAATTTGAAAAAGTAGGATGTAATTTTCACAAACAAGACAAATTATTACTTAAAATTGAAAATTAATACTAAACAAACAATAATCGACATTCACAAGCTTTAGTCCAGTTATAACATTCTTCACCTAGTAAGAAGTATTTTTAAGTTTAACTCACATGAATGCAAGGACAGTATATACTTGTGTGATGAATTCAAATTCAATACTTAGTTGTGGCCGAGACGTGGCTCGTCCATTGTTGTGATAGCATAACTTTGTTGCATAAAAAACACTAGTCCTTGGAGATCAGTGTAACAAAAATTCATCAAAATCATCGATTTGCATGTTCCTTAAAAGAAATTCAATACAGCTTAAGTTGACAAGCTTTACTAATTTACAGAGATACAAGGAGACGTGAAATTTTGGCCGGCCGACGGTCCGACCTTAACCAGTCTAAAATGGAAGAGGAGTGGGGAGGAAAAACAAAAAGGGAAGCCGAAATGTTCATTACGTCGCCATGATCTACAAGACACTGGTGTTCAAAGAAGAGCCCCGCGTGACAAAGGGACTACATAGCCCGAATCTAATTCCATGGACTTGGCAATCGAGCGTCTTTGAAAGCAGAAGTGCCGCCGGACGCTGCAGGGGATGGAGAGGATGCCATGTAATTGGTTCCTGATGCAGATACAGTGGGTAGATTTGCAGGATGCCCCTGTTGCCCAATGGGAGCAAAGCGCGATGGACTAGTGCCGGTTGGCCCTAAACTTGCTCGAGAGGGGTGTGGAACCTGCACACAAATTTGATAACTGAGTATAAGCTCATGAAAATGTAGCAAAGCAAAGAGACATCAATTGTTAACTATTTCCTCAAATTTCTAATATTTTCTCTTGTGGAAAACTACTTTTAACTTGTAATTCAAAAGATTCTTAATTTATATGCTCTCACAAGACAATGATAAAACCATCAATACGGTGGTCGACACAAGTGAAAACATAAACGAAACGTGCATAGACACTTGGTTGGTACTGTAAAATAATGAAAACATAAACGAGACGTGCATGGACACTTGATTGGTACGGTGAAAGTAGTTCTAGAAGTAGTAACCAAAATGCATTACAATCAAACAACATACAAACTGACATCACTAACTGAAAATCATGCAGCTTAACGACACACATCACGCCAATTTCGGATGCATTAACATTCAAAATCAAGTCTTTACATATAGCTGAGATAGCAGAATCGCAATTTCACAAACTTTACTATTTCACTCAAGTATTTTCCAACAAATAGTTTACTAAATTAAGTTCAAATATAAAGGCCCCCTACTAAAATTCGTTCCCCTTTCCAACTATTTCCCTCCATTTTCCATAATTCAGCTAAATTATAATAAAAACACATACAAAGTTCATTGCTTCAGCTTTAATTTGCACCATTTTCTCAGAAACCAAACATAAAATCGAGCCAAGCAATCAAATTTCATTTGAAGGAGTGAAAAATTACGAACCAAGCCATTGCCACTACTAGTGGAAACCTGCTTCGAAGACTCGTCCTCAGAGCTCACATCCCTTCTCTTTCTTCCGCCACCGCCACCGCCACCGCCGCCGCCACTTTGCTCAGTCACAGTGGATTCCTCCAACGACCCATCTCTGTTCACAGAACAATCTCCAGGCCCACCCAAACTCTGACCCAAGTTACCCATTCGGAGCCCCAACCCGCCACCGCTGCCACCGGGTTCGCCGCTAAAGGGCCAAATCTCCGCCAGGCTGTAGGATGCTGGGTTAGCTGCTGAGAAGGAAGACTCGTTGATCAGTGGAGGATCCATTTTGTCAACAACCGAATTCATTCGACCGGACCCGACCCGTTATCCGAATCCGAAACCAAAACTTGAGGTTCCGAGAGAGAGAGAGAGTGAGCTTGTGGGGAGTGAATGAGGGGTTTAGTCAGCTGATGGGTTATTTAACAAGTGATTTAGAGAAAGAAAGATTTGGTTTTTAGAGAGAGAGAGAGAGAGAGAGAGAGAGAGAGGCATTAATGGATGATGATGAAAGTGTGAGTGAGAAAGTTAGAGAGAGAAAGGGAGGAAGGGAGGGTGGGAGTGGGGGCAGAGATGAAGCACAGTTTGATCCTTTTGGCTGGACGGGAGGAGAGCAGCGCGCAGTGCGCCCACTGTGGACCCCACCCGACAGTAAAAGGCATTTAGAGAGAGAGAGAGAGAGAAGCGGCTCCGTTTAGAAAGTGGACGTCCAGAAATGCTACCATCGGCGCGTTAAGGTACTCGCTCTGCTGCAGTAGACACGTGGCACTCAGTCTGGGTTTTATTAGTTTATCATATTATTTAATTTCCTGTGTGAGTTGCTTGATTGGTTGATCTAAACCAGATATGGGATCAAGTGCCTAACGAATTCATTATTAGAAGGATAGTGGGGATCAAGGGGTCCAAACCCACATCTGTATTTCAAATTACTTGAAGATTCCATTGGCTATATTTCTCCCCCCTTTTTTTATTATTTTTTATTATTATTTTTATTTTTACCGCAAAGCGATATATTAATATATTCTGATTTACAATGAAGAGAAATGAGATTTTGATACAAAAGAATGCACATGTTATTCTGACCAACAAATTTAATTCACATTTGCATGCTTGATGATGTCATTCGCTAGAATTTTCTATTCTCCAAGAAAGTGATATTTTAATATGTTCTAATAGACGATGAAGAGGAATCATATTTCGGTGCAATGAGACAGACGCAGTGCTCTGACCAATTAGCCTAATTTTACATATGTGCAATTCACAATTCTATTAATGTAGTTTGGACATGTGAACTGAAGAACTACATATGCTTTGGTTAGCATATGCGATTATGAGACAGAGGCTCATAATAAAAGAGGTAGAAAAACCTAGGAAGACTTAGAAAGAGATTCTAAGAAAAGACATGGAGTACTTGGAGCTAATGAAAGAGTTGGCACAAAACCAAGACCAGTAATGTTTTAAGATTCATATAGCCGACTCCACTTAGTATTATAAGGTTTTGTTGTTGTTGTTGTAATTTACTCTGAAGAAATAATATGTCAAATTCCCATAGTAAATGAGAAATACCCAATTTAAAATAGTGCCTAGAAAGTGAAAGTAACAGTTAATGTGAGGAAGATTTTCAAATTGGGGCATCTTATTCCCTTTCAAAAGAGAGATTGGGTGGAAACAATGGTTGGTGGGATCTTGGGCATTTGCCAAAGTTAACTTGAGTGGCTTAATTTCCCTCTTAAAGCCTCCTACTCCTAATTTGGTTGTCAAAACTTGATGCATTGTCTATTTAGAAATAGGGTTAAATGCTCATCTGCCCATTTCACTTCCATGTCCACCTCATATATGTTGCACCTGCCTTTCATCAAAAGTGATGTGTAATACTCAAGAGAGACTTACATACACACTCTTTGATGTCGTTGCAGCGTTTCAAACTAATAGTACAATGTTGTGTGCTTTAAATTTCTCACATAGATCGTTCTATTGGTCTGGGATACTATGGTGGCGTACTCAGAGGTGCAGGGAAGTCTCCCTCCTATTCCTCGTGTCAATTTTACAGTTTGCATTAAGGCATTAGTATGTGTCAGCTGAAACTGAATATTAAAATAAATGTTGAAGAAAGTTGTTAACTTTTCTTTTTGTCTTTTTAGTAACTCATTACAGTATGTAATCTAGTGATAGATTATTTTTCCTTAACAGTAAGGAACTAAAGAATGTTCGTTTCATGGTTATTCTTGAGTGAAGCTCATCTAACAAGTTGGAGTAGGACTCTACCCCTCCAAATTTTCATGAAGCAACAAACTTGGCTCTATTGAAGTTGTTATAAGATAATATTTGACGTTGATTGAGAATATGATTCACTCTGAAACCCTGTGTTTAGAGTTCGTCGATTCAAAGATTTCGACAATTCAAGATCTAGGCTATTCAGGTTTTTGGATTTTTACAAAGTGGGCTAGGGAGATAGAATAAGATGAACCGTATGATTAAAATTGAGTTGCCTGAATCTCTCGGTTTGCAAGTTTCGAATACAGAGATATTGAGTGAATCTCAATTCGCCTTCACAATTTTGAACAAAAAAGACAAAAGTAAACAAAGAAGAAAATAGTACAAAGTGTAACATGACAACTATTTTGTGTAAGAAGTTCAACTTCGTGCTCAGTTGGGAAAGAACTAGGTCGACTTTTTCTGCAGTGACTAGTACATGGAACTGTTACAAAAATATGTTCCGGTACGTTTTGCTCTTTGTGGCTACTTTTTTCAAAGCTCTTAAACAAAACCCCTGCATTCTGCATGTGATAGCCGTAAAATCTACCACGCTCAATTTCTTCCTCTCAATCATTGGTCCTTCTTTTTGGATTTTTTTTGTATGAACCGAAACATAGCATGCAACGGAATCTTTAGCCGCACATCCAACCGTTCCTTCATTGGCTCCATACCAAGCATAGAAGGGTTTGTTTATAAAATTATCAATTTCCGAACTGCCATTTATGTCCATCAATATTAATAAGTGCAGGATATGTAGGTATGCAATTTTACTTCTGCCAAGGCGATATTTTTAACTCCTATGATCTACAGATTGGGAAATTCGAACTTGAGAGCATGTAGCCGGAAACTCCATTGTAATCATTGATAACGTTAACTACTATAATCCTTAAAGAGGGGAAATCTACTTGGAATCAAGTGGTCAAGAAGCTGGCCTTAATCAATTGACCTAACTAATGTACAGAAAATTGGGAATTACATACCAATACAAAAGTAGTAAAAGTTTGCAGTATGGTCTTGATGGCAACTTTTTTATAATTTTGATGGGTAAAAAAAAAAAGTCCCTTGATGGGAAATCAAACACTTGGTTTTGCTTGGATGGAGAATGGGCCAGTTAATCAGTGGTATAAGAAATAGATTTTGGGCTGGGATGGAATGGGATGGCAATGCCCAAATTTTAAGTCCAAATTGTTAGATGTGAAAAGACAATTTTGGTCTAAGCCACATTATTTAGGACCCTCTCTCAAAATGGTCCCATGTCCTACAGTCTAGTGTTTTTTGGAACAAGAGGCCCCAATTTACAAGCAAGATAAATGATTTGGAGGGTAGGGGGTGTCCTCTTGAGTCTCTGACCGAACCACCAATAATATAAAGAGGAGATACAAAATACAATATAAGTTTGGAAAACAGGACACACATCCTAAGAACTTTTTGGATGCCATCCTTGATGGATTGAGCACTACTTTTCATATGTAATAATAATGTATTAAAGATGGGATGGGAGAAATCTGTTCTGTTATCGGTTGTACAGTTATGTGTTTACATCTCATGTGACAAGAGAGATATGTGATTGTTTAAACCGGTAACACCCAAGAACAAAACGGACACATAAGACGAAAAAAGAAAAAGAAAAAAGTAACATATAGTATGATTTTATGACAGTGATGATCACATATGGCTTAAAGGGATTTGGATTCTCTCCTCTTCCATTTTCCTTCTCCTTTAGTCCCATTTTATTTGAATACTCACGATTAAATCACGTCAACATTTTATATTGATTTCTTTATAAAGAAAAAACAATGGAAGAAATCTCTCAATGAACAAAAAGATGGGGAGAAATTTCCATTTCTCTCTCTCATGATTTTCCCTGCATAACCAAACGTACAGTCTGGAAAGAAGAAGAAGGCACAGAACCTTCTTCCTACCCTAAAAAAAGTCTTTAAAACTTATCAAATTTTCAGTCTGCTCTTTGTACAGTGGTCTTAAACAAGAGGATGTACAACTTTTGATCCATTGAGAATACAGAAACCCGCTTACAGAGTGTCACAAAAAACCCAAAACTTGTTCCTACAATGCAGTGCCATGCTGGCCCATATACCCCATCAAATTCCTGCAAAACAATTACCCAACCCTGTCAATATTTGCACATAGACGAACCAATGACTCACTATTAATCACACACGCACGGCAAACATGGGGTTTTATCACAAAAGAACTCGGTGCAATTAATGGCCGAACCATTCATTATATATTGGAGTTTTGAAGTGGGACTTTTTGAGTTAACACAAACCCCACTAAACAATTACCAACTAATCATAAAATAAAACCCACATCAGATAACCACCAAAAACCTCAGAAAAATCAAAATTTAACATCCCAATCATGATAATTAAGCTTATAATTACCTTTTTGAGAGTCAAAGCAAAAGTCTTGGAGGTGAATTTTTCCAGGCTATCATGCGTCTTTCTTGCACACTCCACAGCATGGATCTGCATAAACGGCGGCATATCAGTTGAAACAACTCTCACCCCATTACTTGCTAACACATCCGCCAACTGCACCTGCGGCCCAGACAGGGATCTCCTCCTTCCGCCGCCGCCGCCGCTTGCGGCGGACGAAACCGACACCCTCCTCCCGCTATCAAACTTCTTCTTTTCCTCAAAACCCACCAAGCCATTTTGAGCTTCCTTCTTCTTATTCACCACCGCCACCACATCCCCACTGGGTTTTTTGGGTTATTCTGATTCCTCTGTTTTCTTGCTCTGTTTTTCGCTTCTGGGGTCGAATGATTTAGGGTGAGGGTTCGATTTGAGGAAAGACTTGGAGGAATCCATTGATGCCGACATCGATTTGGCCTGCAAGCGAGTGTCTGTGAGGCTCTGTGAACTGCGGAGTCGTTGACTTGCGTTGACTCTGGAGGTGGGATTGGAGGTGGAAGAGGGTTTAGAGGGCAGGGAAGGAGGATCTAGGTAAGTGGAGTGCTTGGAGGGCTTTGGCTCTGTCGCTGCTAACATGCGCCGGTCGGTGGTGCGGTTAGACATGGTGGTGTTTTTTTTGGGCGGTGGGGGGTGCATGAATGGGGATGAAATGAAAGTGGAAGTTTTGGTTTTTGTGTTGTTGTGTGTTTGGTTCAGTGGTGGGGTTGGGTGGATTGGGACTTGTGTGGTGAGATCTAGGCACTATTGAGTTCTAACATGCGCCGGTGGCGAAGGAAAAGGAAAAGGGCGGGAGGGGCCTCGTGATGTTTTGACCGTTGACTCACCCAACTATCTAAATCCCATGGGAATTTAGTGTTTGAGTTGGCTAGCTAGGGCAACATTTTTGGGATCTTGTCTTGTAATTTGAGCGTAGGGGAAGGAATTTGGTTGCTCCCCTACAAGTCCTATTTATTCGCTTAGCGGCATTTAGTATCCGTTTAGTTGAACGTTTCAGATCTGGCTCATAAGAATTGAAAACAATTTATAGTGAGTTTGATACTAAGTTATGAGCGACTAAACGGCATAAGTAATTTTATAAACATCTTACATTGTCGGAAAATTTTTTGAAAAAGTAGGATGTAATTTTCATAAACAAGATAAATTATTACTTAAAATTGAAAATTAATACTAAACAAACAATAATCGACATTCACAAGCGTTAATCCAGTTATAACATTCTTCACCTAGTAAGAAGTAATTTTAAGTTTAACTCACATGAATGCAAGGACAATATATACTTGTGTGATGAATTCAAATTCAATACTTAGTTGTGGCCGAGACGTGGCTAGTCCATTGTTGTGATAGCATAACTTTGTTGCAAAAAAACACTAGTCCTTGCAGATCAGTGTAACAAAAATTCATCAAAATCATCGATTTGCATGTTCCTTAAAGAAATTCAATACAGCTTAAGTTGACAAGCTTTACTAATTTACAGAGATACAAGGAGACGTGAAATTTTGGTCGGACCGACGGTCCGACCTTTACCAGTCTAAAATGGAAGAGGAGTGGGGAGGAAAAACGAAAAGGGAAGCCGAAATGTTCATTACGTCGCCATGATCTACAAGACACTGGTGTTCAAAGAAGAGCCCCGCGTGACAAAGGGACTACATAGCCCGAATCTAATTCCATGGACTTGGCAATCGAGCGTCTTTGAAAGCAGAAGTGCCACCGGACGCTGCAGGGGATGGAGAGGATGCCATGTAATTGGTTCCTGATGCAGATACTGTGGGTAGATTTGCAGGATGCCCCTGTTGCCCAATGGGAGCAAAGCGCGATGGACTAGTGCCGGTTGGCCCTAAACTTGCTCGAGAGGGGTGTGGAACCTGCACACAAATTTGATAACTGAGTATAAGCTCTTGAAAATGTAGCAAAGCAAAGAGACATCAATTGTTAACTATTTCCTCAAATTTCTAATATTTTCTCTTGTGGAAGACTACTTTTAACTAGTAATTCAAAAGATTCTTAATTTATATGCTCTCACAAGACAATGATAAAACCATCAATAAGGTGGTCGACACAAATGAAAACATAAACGAAACGTGCACAGACACTTGATTGGTACTGTAAAAGTTATGAAAACATAAACGAGACGTGCATAGACACTTGATTGGTACTGTAAAGTAGTTCTAGAAGTAGTGACCAAAATGCATTACCACGTTGTGCTGAATATGAGCCGGCCTTCTGAGAGGAGACTCTGAAGATGGGGATGTGCTATTCATCCGGAACATATGGCGAGAATGAAAGTTATGATTTGAAAGCTCATCGCCCTCAACCCCTTCCATCTCAAGATTCGCCTCTGAGCCCAACCTAGCAGCAGCATGCCTAGTCATTGAACCGGAATCATTTGTTACATCAACTTGAAGTGATACAGACGGGCGAACCACCACTCCTTGCATACAATTTCGTCTCTTTAATTCTTCCTCTGCATTTAAGATCTGTAAACCAACACGAACAAGCTCTCTAGTATCGATACTTGCCCAAATGTATCACAAAGAAACGCACAAATCGCCTACAGAGCCAAAACTTACCTGCTTCAACACTTGAACTAGATTATGTTTCTTCTGATTCAAAACCTGCAGCTTCTCCTCAACTTCTCTCTTCCTTTTTTGCTTATCGCTTAACTCCTCCTCTTTGTTGCACCTCTATCATATAAACAAACAATTGCAGTTACTAAACACGAATCGAAACTACGCTAAACAGTTCAGCAAATCAAAATGCATGCTTGTGATGTATAGATTTAAGTTTTTCTTTCTCCACACATTACAGTTTAAATCCAATTTTCACACTTCAATATAAGAACACAAACCCATACAAATGCCCAAATCAAAAACAAAACTTTCCAAAGCAATTCAGAATCCAATTGAAAACCAGATATAAATACACATATAGGTATAGATATACCTCAGAATTAGGGTTTTCCACTTCATCCAATTTCTCAACCTTCACAGGCAGTGAACTCGCACCAACATCCGCAACATCCGACCCTTTCTCGATCAAATCGGGCTTAAGAGCAGGCGGTGAATCGGACCCACCGCCGGATTTCACCGACAAATCAGCACCGTCCGATAGCTTCCCATCCTTCTTCTTCCCGGACGGCCCAGCTTCGCAATCAGCAGCAACGTTCTCCGGCGCTTCGAATTTAATCGTGGGGTGAGACAAATTTCCCGCCTTTGGAGCTTCGCTGAGCTGGCCCGGGATAAAATCAGGGTTGGGGTTAGAAGAGACGGCGGCGGCGGGGAGGCCGGAGCGGAGGCGGGAGAGAGCTACAGAGCGGCGGGTTAAAAGGGATTTGAAGTCCTTAAGGGAGATTTTAGGGGTTGGCATAAGCCACCGACGTGGTACGTCGGGAACTCTGTGGAGATTTCCTCTGTACAACGAAATCGCCACCATTTTTTAACGAATTTTTCTGTCGATATTTTTGTTCTTCTGCAATTTCTCTGTTCTTTGTTTTTCGAATTTTTGATGAGTTTTATCAGAATTAATATAAAGTAAATAAATAAACGAATTGTAATGAAAAGTAAACATGGACCACTCAGTAATCGAGAGATACTTAAAAAAAAAGTCCTCCACTTGTGTAGCACCGTCTATATTATGAGCATACTGGAAAATCTTTAAAATAATTAAGTACAGACATGATCTTTATTTTTCCTCTCTTTTTATTCTAGCATAAATCCTTGGAGTTGGTGTTTATTTTTAATGGAGCAATAACGTTAGTGAATTAGAAAGTTAGTTATTAGATAAAATTTCTGACGTCTGATTTGATCCACTATCACTACAACTATTAACTTTAGACAAATACCTTAATAGCCAAGTTAATGTTAACCAGATAAGGTTTTTTATGTCATGGCTCACGCATTACATACATATCGAGTCTGCAAACGGGATTTAAATTTGACTTGCATGTTTGGCCTCTTTTTCTTAATTGGGCTTTTTCTCACATAATTTTGTTCGATTAAGAACTGGTTTGGTATTGCTGTACTTAAAAAAAAAAAACTACTTATGCTATGTTGTGAGAATAAGCTCATTTTTGCTGCTTCACGTTTTCAGTTTTTTTTCATCCAAAACTGTGAAAATAAACTGTTTTTAAGTGTTTACCAAATATCTTTTTTACCTCAACTTTTTTTTATACCCATTTTTTATAAAAACAGCTTAATACCAAACTAGTACGAATTACCAGTTTGGCACAGCTGAAATTATAAAAAAGTAGCTATGAAAAAAAATTGGGATGTAAAATGTGTTTGATAAATGTAAAAATAATTGATTCTTTTCAAAGTTCCAGCCAAGATAAGCAAAACAATGAAAGCAGGATTTTGTTGCTTCTTAAAACCAGCTTTTTTTTCAAAGGAGGCTGATGAACAGTAAAGTTTAATGAAACTTTCTTAAACCCAATTATACCCTCTTTCTCCTTCTCGCTTCCTTCATCGTATCAAATCATGGAATCCGAGTGTTCGAGAGGACGAGGTCCCTCAACGAGTCGAGTCCGACACTTGATGTAAGCTGAAGATATACGGGACGAAGGAATGACTGTTGATTACCAAGGTCGAATTCAGAGAGCTCCATTTCACTGATACGGTTGAATTCAGAGAGCTTCATTCACTGACACAGAGAGACAGCTTGTGAAAACCCAGGTAGAATTCATCGTCTCGAGCCCGGAGCACGCGGATTCGAACAGCAATTCCTCCGGCGCCCCACGTCAAAGAAGCCCCACCATTGAAGTTATTTGGACCCTGATTTCGGGACGATGGACCGTTGGTGTTAGCGGCAAAGGCGTGATGGCGCTTAGTCGAGGCCGTCCCATTGAGACCTTGCTGCGACGGCGGCGCCGGGAGCTCTCTGTGGAGAAAAGGGCAAGGGTGGCGATTGCACTTGCCCGCCCTCCAATGGTAGCATACCGTCTGGTTCTTTGACGGGTCGGATTGCTGCCCACCCAGTTTGAGGAAGACCCGTTTGGTTCCCCTCCCGTCTACATCCTTTAGCTACGGATTCGAATCTCTCTGTGGCTATATACTTTGGACTGAAACTCAAAAGCTTCGATTTTCCCCATTTTTTTCTGGGTTTTTCAAAGTTGATTGGATGGATTGGCTGATTGGAATCCAATCATAGAGTTGGAGAGATTCGGAAGCTCGGAATTTCTTGCTCTATCTCTCTCGAGGGTCGGCGATTTTGGTGATTGGGAAGGGGAGAGAACAGATGGTTGGAGAGGGAGGGATTTGGATCTTGAGCTGTAAAATCCGCCGGAGATTTTGGTGATTGGGAACGGGAGAGAACAGAGGGTTGGAGGGGAGGGATTTGGATTTGAGCTGTGACCCGAAAATGATGAAGATTGAAGATGAAATTATAAATAAATAAAAAAATTATTATTTCACATTTAATATTATATCTTTTTAGTCATTTAACATAGTTGCAACAGTTTTATATAAAGTTTACCAAACACTTGAACATTATTTTTTTTGTTAAAACACTTTTACAATAAAAGTTTACTAAATATTTAACTGCTTTATTTTATAACTACTTATTTTTACAGTACAGCAGAAATAATTTTTTTTAAAAGTACAGTATTACCAAACTAGCATAAGGCTTTTCAGAGGCGTCTTTTATGTCAACATGTATGCCTATGTTATGTTTTTGGGTTCATGCTTTGAATGAAATCCTCTTTTACCTAAAAAAAAAATTAGTTGCATCATGCAAGGCATAAAGTTCCAACAAAAGGCCCTATCAGCTAGTTCTTATTATTTTCAGCTTATATAGAAAATCTTATTGTTTGCAACGTTCGTACCATAGCTTTGGAGGAAATACATAAACTCAGTAGTAGAATGGTTCTTCCAGTAGTTCAGGAAACTCCAAGAACATCTCATTCTCTCGAGATACCATGGCTTCCACAAACGAACTGTCGCACGCTGGAGATGTAGCCTCTATTTCATTGCTTGAGATTGCATAATCCATGTCGATTTGGCTTTGTTGTACTGCTACTTGTGCTATGTTCTTCGATGAATACTCAGCCTTGTTTTTGTGTTCTTGGGTGTCACCAATTGGCATAAACGCGTCTTCAAGGAGAAAATCGCTCCAGCTAAACGTCTGCAGGGTTGCCTGCTCTTGAGCGGCAGATGAAGATGTAGAAGATGGTGATGACAATGTGCCTTCGTGACTGTAAAAATATGGCGCAGAAGATTGGAATTCCATGGATTTTGAGGCTTCTGTCACCAATTTTATGGCCTGCAGCTGTGTGAGAAGGTCTGGGGGTTGGCTGCTAGGTTGATTGTGGCCCAAGAAACTGTCTAGAATTGGCTCCGCTTTGGTCGGTATCATTGTAATTGGCATCAAATGGCTGTTGATGTTGGAAAACCCTTGTGCTGGCAATAAGTATGGCTCTGCTGGTTTCATCAGCATTGCGTTCTTCAAGTCTTTGTTGAGAGAACCTATCCCGATTCTCATGCCAACTTTCGAAACGCCACCGATGTTTCCATAATCCGCTAAGACTTGAGAGAAGGGCTTATGAGTAACAGGATCAATTCCCATTTCTGAGAGCTTCTTCTTCAGCTTAGTATTCCAGTAGTTCTTTACATCATTGTCTGTCCTCCCAGGAAGCTGTTGAGCTATTGCAGGCCATCTGCACCACAAAACTCATAAGAAAAAAAATACCCTTATATTTTAACATTTCCCCCCAAATATAATTTCATGACAATTAGACTTCCACAAATTTAAGGGCTTTTGGTTGTCAGAAAACGCTTTTAGCTCTTCAGACTCAAATATAACAAACCTTTATAAGCTTTCTCTCCAAAGGGTAATGAGATCTACAAACTAGGATAGTTGGAACGAAAGACAACACAAATCGGGTCGGATACCATAAAAACAAAAACTAATCAGCTAGGAATTAGGAGTCCTTGAAATTGAACAGCAAGAAATTTGCATAAATACTTACCTGCTACCTATGGTGGCATGAAGCCTGACAATCAATTCCTCCTCATGGGGTGTGAAGGACTCATGCTTCAGATTAGGCTTGAAATGATTAGGCCACCTAAGCCTGCTGCTCTTCCCACATCTTGTAATTCCTGTAAACACACTTACATTAGGTTAATTAATTATCCTCTAAATGCAGTATTTAATCCTACAGCACCCCTGGAAACCTGATAATGAAAGAATTTAGGGAAGAAAACATCCGATTTAACCTGGTTTTTTCGGAACAGAAGTCCAGTTACTCGTCCCATGCTTCGACTCATGCGCAAGTATCTTTGCATCTTCCTCGGCAGTCCAAAGAGTATCCCTTTTCACATGCAGCTTGTCACAACAAGCAGGTCTCACCATCCTTATTATCTGTCTTCTTATCCGCACATGAAATCATAAAAAAGAGTAAGATTGAACAGAAAACAAAAGTATGTAGTCGGATTTAAAAGAGAGATGCGACCGATTTATCTTTGATTAATTCAGCTTATGCAGATGCTCATTGAGAGAGGTATGAGATGAGATGAGGAAAGGTACAGGTTTAAAGTATGACAAGTGTGGGAAGGCAAGAAAAGCATGAGGGTTTTGCTTCCATTTAACTAAGTTTGCATGGTGAATGACATCTTCACATTAACGGTATAAAAACCAGTCTTTCCATATGCTCACATGCTTGGCTCATAAACCCTTTTGAATCTGGTTCGAATTGGGTGAATTATTTGGTTAAATTTAGAATAAATCTAAGTAAATTGTATATAAATGACTTTAGATTATTTTGCCCTTTGTGTAAAAGGAAACGAGTACTCAATACTGTTTTAGTTACAGATAATCACAAGCTTGATGATTCTAACTATTTTAAACAAAAACTCAAGTAATTAAGAAATTAACTTTAGACATGCGAGGGTTGATCTTCAACTTTCTTTAGATGTCAAAGATGGTTGACTCACGTGTGAAACTCAAGGCTCACATGTGCTCCAAATGTTTGATTTGAAAATTCGGCACACATGAAGGAGCGTGTGTGAGGATGTGATGGTAAAAGAGTCTCTCATCGGTGAAAACAGAAATTGCAACACCAGTGCTGGAGTCCAAACCACATAATTGTAATAAATTAAAAACTGCAATGTGTTGTCTAGTTTACGCTTCAAGGAGTTGCGATTTTATAGTTTTAAGTCTAAGTCAGATTATTAAGGACAAAAGAAATATTTTTTAATTATTTATAAAAAAAAACATAAAACCCATGTGGGCTTCCTCATTGACATAGGCTTTATGAATAAATAAAGCTCCTTAGAAGATCTTCAAATAAAATGTCAAAATGTCTAAATCAGTAATAACGGTAAAAATGATAAAAGCAATGTTTTCCAACCGAGAAGCCAAATCTAATGTAGCATGACATGGAATGAGATCTCTTATCTAGGGATGGGCAAATACCCATTGGTTATAGGTAACCGCGGTTATCTGCCCATTTAAATTTGACG